CAATTCAGGTGCACTGCACAGAAACTTGCAGTGATCCAAAATCACTTTTGAGGATATAACTTGGGCTAGAAAGCTGTGAAGTTTCTCTAAGATGTGAAGTTACCTTCTAAAAAAGGTAAGACCATATATGTTGAAAATGATAGGAAATAAGTTCAACTCTTTGCAGCAAGGCAGATAAACCAGATGAAATGGAAACGTGTCAAAGGCTGATAGCCATACAAAACCTGGGAAGATAAAGGTTAAAATAGTAACATAATAGTAACCTAGGCTATTTAGTGTTTATTTAGAATTCAGATACTGTTTCTCTTTAAGAGATCACTCAAAAATTGTTCATGCTAGTTGACACTTTCTCCTTTTAGGTGCAGTCAACAGAGAACTGTTATTCTATCATTGCAAATAATCCTTTTCTACAAGAGCTCTAAATATAAGCATTTGTAAATAGCTCCGTATGGTATGCAGGTTTTGCAAACGTCATATTTATAACAGTGGCCAAAGCCAAATTACAAGATTTATATAAGAACTGGAGTTGCAGCTGGTTTGTCTCAAACTAAAAAAAGGTGGAAAACTTTTGAAATGTCATCTGTTCTTCAAGATTAATTTTTTTGCATTAGTATTTTCCGGAATTCAAGTTAGAATAATATTTTATAGTTAGTAAAATAGGTGAAAGGGTTTGGGAACAACTGATGAATTATTTTTTTTTATTTTAAAAAAACACATAACTACCAAGGAAAAACTTACTTAAACCATCTAATTAAAAAGAGGAAACAGAACTAAACATTTTAAAGCATGATCTGTTAGTAATTTGCATGATCAGAAAGTTTTACATGCCACAGCTTGCTGGAGGTGTTGCATAGTGTTTTGTTAAATTTATTTGTGTTCATATTAAGGTGGCAATTTCACTTCTTTTGGATAATACAGTCTCTGATGGCTAAAAATAGGTGCTTTGTTTTGAAAATGCACAAAATGGGAGTGATCTGTGGCTCAGTTCTGAAAACATATTTAGCAAGAAAAAATTGATCAAAGTTGTTAGTATTGATGTTACTGTTTGTGTATGAAGACAGCAAAACACTGAAGTATGTTCTGTACTATTCCATGTAAGGTTTTTGCAAGTTTTGCACTTTTCTGTATAAATTATTTAACTGCATCTTATGGAGAAATAGCATGAAGAAGGGTTGTATCTTATCCTTCTTGCAAGAATTGATAGGAAGTTGAAACAAAGCAGTAAGTCAACTGTGAAAAGTGATATGGGAGTGAAGGTCCTTTACCTAAGCAATCCCATAATGCCAAGAGCTTTGCATTGATTTAGTTAAGACTGGTGCAGATGTTAGAATGTGCAATTCTAATACAATTTAGCATGTTCAAAACTGACATAAATCATACTGACATCCACTCTGTTTTACTCTGATGCTGACATACACTTCAATATGAAATTCTTTCATGGCTATGAAAATCTTACTGTTACATTAAAGGAGTCAGGTGCTTTTACTGCATGCATTAAGAAGATGAGGAAAGCACAAACTTAAATTTCAGTGATTATTCTGTTATCAGTAAGAACAACGCGGATAAGAGTAAAAGCCTCTTAAATGTAGGATATGGTAAAAATTTTCACTGGTCAGACACAGTTACTGAACATGATTATGTGTCCTGCTCAGTGTAAATAAAGAATAAACCAACTCATTTAAACAATTCATTTGGGCACATTTTTAAATGGTTTTGTGTATGGACTACTTAGCCTTAGTCTTGTTAAGATACCCTGATTTATACTACAGTATGGAATACAGGGTCATATACTGATAGTGGGAAAACTTGTTGATTTCTCTAAGTTCAGTAATTAGAGTTTTAGGTAAATTGCCGTAAGCAGAAAGATGCAAGATAATTGTTCCTGGTAGAAAGATGTGTTTCCCTCATTCTTAGTGCCTTTTGATTTTGATTTTTTTGAGACAAAAATTACAGATCTCATTTTGATCAAGCTTAGGTTGTCAACAGTTGTGCCTGGAAAGTCACACACTGCTTAAGTTCTTCTAAAACTGAGTTTTAATTAATAATTAATATTTCTAAGTCCCTGGTGCCCTATGACTACCAACTCTGTAAGAAACTGAGTGATTCGCATGCAGCGATTCCGTGCTGTGTACAGCCTGGTAGCTGAAACAGTAATCCCCTTATAATTTGATATATTCTCTGCCCTTCTGACATGTCTTCAAAGCAGGCACAGCATAGCTTTTTTCTTGCCTACTGTCTTTCATAAAAGTAAGTCATAAGGTGTTTTGCAGTTAGGGAATGGATTAAAACTGCTTCTCCAGTCAGCACTGAGATTAAGTTACAGAAATGCATAGAAACCTCTGCAAACTGTTGCTGCTTTTAACATGCAGAACCGAAGTCATTTCAGCATGCAACAGTTGTTATTTGCTGATACTGTATCTGGCTCCAAGTATGTCTCATCACCAACATTAAAAGTAACTACTAGTCAAACTACAGATGTAAGCATTTTTCACTTGGTGTAAAAAATTTATGGTTATGAGTAAATTGCTTAATTATATCCCATTTTTCAGAAGTGCCTAAGTAATCTAAGTCCTACTAAAGGGACTTAAGGGTTGGGACTTAAGCTCCTAAGTGTCTTAGCCAACATTTTTAGAAGTCTGTAACATCCATGTATCCACTAATGTCTCTAGCAATTCCTGAAACCTAGCGCTGCTTAACAGTACAGAATACTACACATGTAGTTAAAACAGAGACAAAAGTGAGATTGCAGTTCCAGATATTTGTTTCCTCAGGAAAGGTTTAATTCAGTAGGCAGGCAGGGCAGTATGGAGCAATCCGTATCAATCTCCTCAGGGCAGATTACTTAATATAGTCCATTGCCTTTATGGAAAGAAGAAAGGCAAAGTAATTTTAAAATCCTCGTTTCTTAATTTTCCAGTCACCACTTTTACCAGTTTCACCAAATTTAGTCCACTGAGTTTATCCCTGTTCCATCTCTAATGTGAGGGTCAAAATCACACAGGTACCCCCAAAATACCAGACAGTGGAAGGATTTAGGAGAATTTATTTTCGGAGTCAAGAACACTTAACATATCAGCACAAAACTGCACCAGGCCTAGGAAAAGAAGATATGCCTGCTGTTCTTGGGGCTTTTATCGTCCCAGGCCCTCCTGGCCTTCAAACATGTCCATAGGAACTTATCTTTTCTCATGCCAGGAAGAGCTTCTCTGGAATGAGAAAATATCTAAAACTGTCTCTGGCCAAAGAGGAAAGCTTTCTTAAGTGAAAATCCCTAATCACCTCACAGTAAAATCTTCCGGAAGGGCCTTCTACACTTATATCTACTATAAAATCCTGTCTTCTAACCAACTGATCTATATCTTGCATAGTATTTGGTCTGTCTTAATGCTATGTGTTTCATATGTGACTGAGCATATTTCACTCTGTATTCAGTATATTGGGTCTGATTTCTAGAGATGCTATGCATCTTTGTGTCATGACTTCAGAAGGGAGTACTGCACAAATTTGTTTAGTTAAATTGATTGAAATTTCATTCTGACACAGGTTCCAGATTTCACTATTACAGACCTGTCTTCAGAGTCAGATGATATCCCAGACATTTTGGATTTGGATGAAGAGGATCAACAAGACTTTTCACGCACAAATGGCCCTTACACTACAGGGCAAAGAGCTGAATAGAGAAGGATAAAAATCTATTTTGATACAATTTACCTTTGCCATGTTTAATTTAGATTTCTCCTTTTTAAAGGTGAACCTGCCTAGTTTAGGGATTATGGGGATATTTTTTTAAAAATCACTGCTGTTTCATTTAGCTGCATCAAAAATCTGGGTTTTTTTTCTACATAAGGAATGCACACTACATTAATTCATTAGCATAGGTGTCAAGCTCCCATTCTATAAGACAGGCATAGCCTATCCAACTGATCTGATCTTTGTTAATGATTTGTTCTCCTGCTGATAGCGGCCATGAGAACAACCCAGTGCTTTGCATAAAGGGCTGCCAACAAAAGGAGTTGATGAGGATTTGCCCACAAAATTTCCCCTTTCAGTCTACCTGAAAAGCAGTTCTGTATCTACCTCTGCTGCTGGAAGGGGTAAGAGACTTCGTCTATCTCAGATTTTCTCAAGTTCTTTTTGTTAGGCTCTGCACCTACAGAGCTTAGAAGCTTAGAGCTTTCCTTTGGCAAGAGTGCTTTATGCACAGAAGGACTCCCTTTCTTTCCACATACCTTCTGTGTGCAAATATTTTGGCCATTGTGATGCTATCAGTTGTGGCGCCTAAGACTAGAAGAGGGTAAATGCTTAAAAATTAAAGTTTTCCAGGAATAAGGGTAGCAGTTAGAAAAGGTAAGAGACTGTAAGAAGAGAGGGAAAAGGGAGGATGAAGAGATACAGATGTGGGACAAAAGAAAATTGAAAAGAAAAAAAGAGGGAATTGAACGTGAGGATACTTCTGGTAACAGTGTGGGGACTTTTTCTGTTTAAATAAAATGTCGGTTACTTTTTGAGGAATGTTGAGGCCGCGTTTGCTTGCACACAGTAAGTTCTGTAGGAGCTGGGGGGAGTGAGAACGGGGCTGGAGGCGGGCTTGTTAACTTCTGTTTTTAAGGACCAGACCGAGCTGCTTCGCCGGGGCGATGCAGCCCGTCGGGAGCCGTGTTACAGCGCTGATCCGTCCAGCGCCGCCCGCACCGCATCGCCCTACTGCGCGGCACCCTGGGAGACTCTGCTTGTGAGCACTTGCAAGTCTAGTCACTGAAATGCCTTGAAATAAAAATTTGAACCGCACAGCCCGCTTGCCGGTGTGGTTGTGGTGTGGGTTTTTTTTCAGTTTGTTTGTTTATTCCGTGTTAAATTTCGCCGTCCGATCACAAACCCATTTCAACGGGAAGGCCCCGCTGGCGGTTTCCTCGGCCCCCGGACTACACCTCCCGTGAGGCAGCGCGGCCGCCCCGCCTCGCTTTGGGGAGAGCGGTCTCGCGAGGGCGGGCCGGTGCGGGGCTGTTTTTGGCGGGCTGCGGCGCGAGGCGCGGGTGCCCGCGCGGTCCGAGCGCCCGGGGCAGCCATGACCCACGTCTGGGAGAAGGATCACCTCTGGCTCTACTTGCTGGCCCTGGGCTTCGACCCGAACAAATGCCCCAAGGACGTGAACGTGGGACGGTCAGTGCGAAGGAACACCGGGGGAGGGCGAGGCGGGGGGGGGGGGGGGGGGGGGGGGGGGGGGGGGGGTGGGGAGCGGTGGCTCTTCCACCCGGGAGCGCTCGGCTGGAGCGGAGCGGGGGCGTTTCGCCGTAGCCACCGAGGGTCCCGATGCCCCTGGTAATATGTAGCGCAGGGTAAAAGCCCGCAGTGCCACCGCGGTCCGTGTTACCTCTGTCCGAAGAAATGAACTCCAGGAATGATAAGAGCTGCTCCCCGGCACAGTCCCGTAGGGAAGGCGAGGCGAGCGGCTCCCTAGCGCGTGTTTTCAAAACTGGCCTTGAAAGATAACGCTCTCACCGGAATTATTTCATAGAATAATAGCACGTCAAGGAGTTGGAAGATCACCCCCTCGCTCACGGACAGGGGGACACCTCCCAGTAGACCAGATTGTTCAAGGCCTTGAACGCCGCCGGGGATGGGGCATCCACAGCCTCCCTGGGCCACCTGCTCTGGTGCCTCACCACCCACACAATAAAGAATTTCTTTTTAATATTGTACATAAATTTCCTCTCTTTCAAGTTTTACCCGTTACTCCTTGTCCTGCTACTGCAGTTCCTTATGAAGAGTCCCTCTCTGGCTTTCCCGTAGGACCGCTCCAGATACTGTAAGGTTGCTGTGAGATCTCCACAGAACCTCCTCTTCTCCAGGCTGAACAGCCCAACTCTCTCTGCCTTCATAGGGGAAGTGCTCCGGTTCCCTTATCAACTTCATGGCCCTAGTCTGGACTTGTTCCAACAGTTCCGTGTCCTTCTTATGTTGGGGGCAGCAAAATTGAATGCAGTACTCCAGGTGGAGTCTCAGAAGAGCAAAGGAGGAGAATCACCTCCTTCGGCTTGCTGGCCATGCTTTTGATGCAGCCTTGGATTTCACCTGTGTTAAATGGGCTGGACGATGTATACTTTTACACACAAGTAACAAAGTATTCAATGTATACTTTGTAATGCTTTAATATAACCTAATGTTTTGTAATCTTTAGTGGCCAGTAAAAATGCTCTCTTAATTTGTCACCATAACTACTTCTGATGGTGCTGTTTATTTGTGTACTAGGAACATGTTTGATAAACCAAACCCCAAAGCATTTGCTGTCGTTGCCCTCTTCTTGTTTACTAAGCTGGATAAGGACCGTGCACAAGAAACTTTTCGGTAAGTGTTTGGCTTGTGCGGTTATTTACTACTCTGCCCTTAATTAAGAATATGTCTATACACCTGCTGGAGGGAGGGAAGTGGTCACTTGGGGAATACTGTGGAAGAAGAGCATAGAGTCAGAATATTTGTTTCCTTTTCATTGCTACTCTGTATCACAACATCAGAATAATTAAAGTTGTGTCTGATAGTATCTGTAACTTGGTGACAAAGTTTATAACTTTGATATAAACTTAATAGCTGCAAAGTAATCTATCTTTTCCATTCATATTGCTGACCAAACAAAGAGTAACATTTCCCATTTATGGATTGCTGCCAGGATCTTCAGCATTATGTTCATTAAATGGTTTTCCTCTTATAGCTGAGCTGTTTTAGCTTATGCATCTGAAGACATGGCAGGAGGAAGACTAGTGATATGAAAGTGGTCAGTTATGACCCCTTTTTTGTTCTTCTTCTTCCCTTATCCTAAGTTAGAAAGAGCTGCAGACAAATCTGTCTCTGAAAGAGTCTGTAGTTAACTTATGGAAAGAAAACATTGTCATTTAACAAACTTTTAGCTATCCTTGGATATATGTCCCTCATTTGCTGGCTCCTCCAGTAGGCATAAAAAGAAATCTTTGTCTTAGTCTTGTTTTTATAGTGGTTAATTAGGTATCTGGATATTTGAACATGTTTTGAATTTTTTTTCTTTTTTTCACTCATCCTTTTTAAATGGAAAGGAATTATGTGTTGGGAATGGAAGCCAATCTTCAATTTAGGAAGCAGTGCTGTAACTGGCTAGGAGAAATTTCAGTAAGTATCATGAAGAGTGGAAGTTGATGTTATGCTGGTTTCTGTGACCTATTTTTTTTTTTTTGAGAAAACTCCTTTAAATCAGAGTTTTAAATAAGGATTTTTATAAAATAATTCAGTTTTACTTTGTGTGTTCTTTCATATAGTTTATTTTGGACTTCTTTGAAGAAAAGACTGTGGCATTGTGGAATTTAGATGACAGGGACCTAATCTTAGGTGTTAAAGCTTCTGTGGCTTGCTTCTGGGTAATGGTATTTAATTAAACATAAGTCTAGAGAGTTCCTTAGCTCTGGGTGAGAATAACTTCCTTCAGCTTGAGAGGTGTTTGTTTAAGTTGCCTGGGAATGTGTTTATCGTTGTGAAAGCTGTTTCACATGCATGAAAAACTTTAATATTAGTCTTTCCTTGTATATAGGAAAAGGGACTAAAATTTAAGGCAAGCTTTTTAAAAAGATAAATCAAAACTGATTGCTTCAGGTATCATTGGTTATTATGTTACCTTCTTATGCTGCCTTTGTTTTAATAATTGTTCTAGAAATTACATCTTTATATACTGCAAAACTTTTGATTTTTTAGTAATAATGGACAAAGCGTAAGCCAGCAATGCAGTATCTTTGAATATGGTAAAACTGCATTAATTAATTACTTGAGTGGAAAATACAAAAGAAAACTTTATTGTATTTTCAAAGATAGGGATTACCAATCAGGAAGACACCGATTTCTCACATTTATCCAACACTAATTTCAGTCTTTGCATCGAAGCTGTCTTGTGTACGGAACTAGGGGTGGTGGTAGGAATATTGAAAAAAGCTTTGTTCTCTTCTGCTGACTAGAGAAAGTGTCAGCTGTGGTAGCAAAGTCATTTAGCTTTGGATCAGGCTTGCTAGCAAGTAGTCTGTAGTGTTTTGGTACTCAGCTACGTGTTTGATAGCTGTTGTTTATGCTTTATTTCTTAGATTACATCTGTGTTTAAAACAATTTAACTTTTCTAGCATCCAGGGCAAAGCCGTCTTCCAAAGATTACGCCTTCATCACTGCTTTCTCCTGCTGGTCCTAAATTTGTTCACTTAGTCTACTCGTTTGCAAGATATGTGATGATTGAGGACGTGAAAAAGTTCTCTGTAGGTAAGTTGTAATGAAAGAATAAAAATGCTTTGTTTGTTGTTTGCACATCTGTCGGTCTTTAATGTATGACAAGAGCTGTAAGTAGTTCTGAGTTGGCTGCTCAGTTCAGTCTTTCACAGCGTCCTGTGCACTTGTGTAGAGCTACTGCTGATAGAACAATGCTGATTGCTTTGCTCTCTGTTGTTTTATGGGTCTTGTTCCAAGGCTCATCTATGCAATGCTCTACACCACTGGCTACACAAGCAATGATTTGGTCCAAAAGTATTGGCTCGCTATACCATGTTCTTCCTCAGAACTTGATGAATTCTGAAGCATCAGACCTGTCTATTCTAGGCATCTTGTATTGTTTTGATAACCTAAAGAAAAAAGAAAGAGAACGAGGGAATGAAGATATATACAACAGAAAAAAAGATGGCAAAAAAGGCAGTACATTGCATGCTCTATTTCAGTCCAGGTAAAACAAGCATCTTGATTTGTGAACATTTCAGTTCAAACTAGGTAGATTAAGAAGCTATCCGTTTGCTAAAAGTGAATGATGTCATCCAAACATTAACTTCTGTTTAGGCACTTGTATACCTTTTGCTGAAGCTGTAACGTTGAGACCTGAGGACATGTACATTGCAAAAGCAAGACATAGAGTTGGATATAATAAACTGCTGCAAATTCTTCAAAAGGAAGACATTGTTATTCGAGAATATGGGAAAAAAGCACAGTAAGTAATGAATTTAAAGAAATTTAGTCTTTTCATAAAAGCTGACTTATGCATGTGTGTTTCTGAAGGGATTTGAGGAGGCTACATCTGCTTTACCTCACAAGTTCTGCCATATTTTCTCCCTTCACATCTTCTAATTGACAGCTCTACTGTTTGTAGATCTTTTGTGAAGTATAGTAGTCTAAAAGAAATTAGTTCTTCATTTAGGAGATGCTGTGTTTTGGAAGATACGAATAGTAGGGTATTAAAATTATCAGGGAATTCTGCATGTATAGCACACTATGATTTCTTAACTTTTGAAGGGTCATATCTTTAAAATATAACTGTCTCAGGATGAAACATTTGGCTTTGCTTAGTCATTGTGAGACATATTTTGTTTACAGGAACCTTAATTATTTCACCAAAAGTATGCTATTTATTACTCTTTTTTTATGGAAGACCTGGAACTTTCTGTGCAGGCACAGACTTAAGTATCAGTGGAATTTAAAGGATCCGTGTGGGATAGTTTGTGACTGGAGCACTGTCATGGACAGTTGCGAGCTGTTCAGTAAGTGGCAGCAAAGGGTGATGAGCTGCACTATAGGTAAAAGAGCAGTGACAGTGCATGTAGCATAGCTCCACATAAGAGGACTAATCATGTTTCATGGCTTTGGATCAAGACCTGAGGGTTTAGCATCCAGGCAGACCTCATGGTGGGTATCAGCTGGCCTTGATTCTTACAGAGGACTTCAGCTTACCCTGGTAATGCTGGGAAAGCATTTCAGTGATGCATTAGCAATGTGCAAAGTGGGAGTGCCTAGAGGATGACTTTGTAATGCAATCAAAGTGTTCCATGTAGGATTGGTGCTCTTATGAACCCACTGCATATAAGTAAGAGAAACTTCTCTGGAGACATTACAGGACTTTTATGGTTACTGTAGCTAAGACTGTAGAACTTAAGATCCTAAGGAAAGTGAGGAAGTTGAGTGGAAAACTAATAACAATGGATTTATAATTTGAGTGAATTTCCACTAGCCCAGGGAACTGCTAGAAGGCATCTTGTGGAAAGCAGAAAGGCTCAAGAGTGATATTTTCAGAGATCCTTGATGAAGTATACGCGTGGTCCCTCACCTTAAGTAGAAAAAGAAGCAGGTGTAACAAGGAACCAATCAGATTAGGGCAGTGAGCCTGTGATAGAGTTCAGAAACCAGAGTAGCAGGATATGGAATATAGAAAAGGGAACTGACTCCCAGACACGAATACGGAGGTATTTCTCAAGTGTGCAGTGAGGTACCTATGAGAGCCAAAGTTCACCTAAAGCTTCAAGAACCCGATAAAAGCCTGAAAAAAGAATCATGTAGGTATGTTATTAGGAATTGGAAGTATATGGTGGATTTAGGTCTGCCTCTGAACGAAATGATAAGTTAAAAGTTTTACAGGCTAAAATAGTGTGTGCTTTACCTCGGTGTGCATGGCTAAGGTCAGTAGCCCAGTTTCTATTCCAAGAAGCAATGGTGAAAGAAGCAACGAAACACTGATAGAAGAAGAGGATGCAGCGAAGGTTTCACTGCTACCTGATGGAATGCATCCAAGCGTGCAGGGATACTTACCTGGCATCATTTCAGAACAGCTAAAGGCATGAGCCCAAAGGGTGATAGTGCCTCAAAGTTGTAACTGGTGTAGCTGTCCTTGAGTGGAGTTCTTCTATGGCTAATACTGTGTCTTCCTAAGGGATATGGATGACAAGATTGAATGCAAACTGGTCAAACTTGCAGAAGGTGCCAAACTGTGAGAAAAGGAGATACATTGCAATGAGGAGGCATTACATAGAGAGACTTTGCTGCGTTTGTAGACCTGCACAACAGAAATTGTGCAGAGATTTAACAGAGGCTAGTGTGACCTCCTGCACCTGGGATGAAGCAGTTCCCAACAGCAGCACAGGCTTGTGGATGATTGTCTGGGAAGTAGCTCTGCTAAGAAGAGCTGGAGGTGAGAGTAGTGTGGGGCCATAAGTTGAGCATGAGTCAGCAGAGTGCCCTGGTTAGCCAAGAAGATCAGCAGCGTGCTATGTTGTATGGAAAAGAGCACTGGTCAGGACGTGGTGAAAATTGTATTGTGCATCACTTGTTTTTCTTGTTTTATTCCTCTCTCTCTTTCTGCTTTACATCTCTGTTGTTACAATATTTTACTTTATTTCAGTTATTAAACTGTTCTTAGCTCACAAGTTTTACCATTTTTTAGATGCTCCTTATCCTGCTGGGACTGGGGAAGTGGGGAGGGAGTGAGCAGCTGTGTGATAACTAGTTGCTGGCTGGAGTTGGCAATTCTAACGCCACACCTGGAATACTATGTTGAGTTTTGATTGCCCGATTGAGGGGAGAGTGAAAGATGGGAGAGATACTAGCAGAGGACCACAGTGTTTAGAGGGTTGGAGAACTTGACACGAGTAAAAGCTGCAGAAGCTTGGTTTGTTTAGCCTGAAAAAGGCAATGCTCAAGGAGATTAATCACAATTTCAGTATCTAAAAAATAGTTGTAAAGAAGATGGAGGTACTCTCTTAACAAGGATGTATGGTGACAGGACAAGGCAACAGGCACAAGGTACACAGGGGAAAACTCCATCTGGATTTAAAAAAAGTCTCATATGAGAACAATTAAACATTGAAAAAAGTTGCCCAGAGAAATGGAATCTCCATTCCTGGAAATATTCAAGACTTGGCTTGACAAGACCATAAGTAACATAACTAAAGACTCTGCTTTTAATGGAAGGGTCAGCAGTACAATTTCCAGAGGTCAAACTCTCATGAACTTGTCTGATTTCTATAATTCTGTATTTCCTGCGACCTTGCTTAGGAAACATTACTGCTATTGCATAATGATATCCTTCAAAAATGCAGTTCTCTATAGTTCATTCTTGGCAAGGGATCACAACTCTGAAGATCCTTGCGAATTCAGCATGATTAGGCACCCAATGTTTCTGAAAATCAGACCACTGTTTTTCCATGCTTAAAAAGTCGATAAAAGCGCTTCAGCAAAAGAACTTAAGTGGTCCAGCTGCTTGTACTTCCATATTCTGTTCTCTGGTCTTGAAACTGAGGTATGTGGTACAGCTGATGAATATGTTTGGAGGTTTATGTTGATAATGTACATTTCTAGTAATTTCATTATCGTTGTTGGGTCTAATAGAAACCATTCTATTGAGACAGCTTGATTGTTTAATTTATATATATCTTAGTGGCTTTCCTGACACTAATTCTACACGAAGTCATGGTAAGGAAGTTTTATTAACCTTTTCTGGTTTTTTTTTTTACATTATTCCACAACTATCTCAGTATGCAGATTTTGAAAGAATGAGCAAGATTAGTTAGTGGCTGCAAGTAATTCTGATAAACCTGAGGTAACTGTTAACTTTTTTCCTAGGGTTTTAGTTAAAGAAATAGAAGAGACAGAGTCTGAATATGCAGTTATGCAGATACAGTCTTTGAGGTAAATATTTTTCCTTGTAAGTTAGGATATATAAAATTGTTTAGTTGCTCAGTTTTATGAAATAGGAACTGTAATTTCATTACGGTCCACTTGAACTTTTGTTTTGCATGTGCATATAGGGTGAAACAAAATGACCAAAACAAAAGTGACACAGTTGAGAGAATTGAAAAGGTGAGGATTTTGTTTCTGCTGTGACTGTGTATTGTATTTCTTCTAATGTTTCTGCAACACCTGCTCTCAGATACTTTTATTTCCCCTTGTCTACTTCTGATTATGCTGGCCCCTTCATCTGCCTTTAAGCTGTTTTGATACTCTGTCATTATAGATATTATGGCAAACATTTTAACATAGCATTTTTGTGTTGCCCATTAAGGTCCGCAGTATGTGGACACTTATAATGGAAATGCTTACATCTCTGGAAAAGGATAAGGAAGTTGTGGATTCTATACTTGAAAATTGTGCGCATCAGTGTATTTTAGATGGAACTGATGTTGTTTTGAGCATTCCAGGGTTGCTGGCTCGCAGAATTGAAAGTGATGAAGTAAGTAGTTTTTGTTCTTCTTGCTAAATTTCTAGTCCCCAGGGGTGCAATTAGATACCTTAAAAAATAAATACTTCATGGATTATAAGAGATGATTGCTAAAGGATGCTTAAAATACATAGTCTGTATGCAAAAACTTGTTAGGATTATAATGCTCTTTTGTATTTGTTATGGTTAACCCATTAACTTTTTTGGTTCAGTAACTACATTGATAAGTAGTACTTGACTTGGTTAGTACTTGACTATTTTGTTGTTTAGACATTAAAACTAGGTTGACTGGTTTAACTATTGCTTTAACTTTTGCTTTTGTTTCCAGTGTGTAGTATATGGTATTGTTCAGTTACGTCATTGGTGTTGTTTGTGTCACAGCTTTTATGATAGTGGTTAAACGGAATACCTCATTGTTGAAGTTGAAGTTTCCTTGGTTCATATTGGTTTAATGTAGAATGCATTATTTGATAAATGAAACAATCAGGAACTGAATCAATCTGTTCTTAGTGCAGAAGACATAACTTTCTGATATTGGTACTGTTCATTAATTTTTTTTCTTGCTTGCTAAACTTCAAGAGTTTTACAGAAAATGTATATGAAGATGGAAAATTGAAGTTCTTAGCAGTCATGCACGTGTTAAATGAAACCTTGAGGATGCTGAGAAATGAACACTGTCAGTCTGAATTAAAAGAACTTCACAGGATTGAGAACATGGTTAAATCTTGCAATAAATTATTACAGAATTTGAACACAAAGAGGTAATTGTTGGCAAATTTTCTCTGGTCCCGTTCTTAAATCTTAGGATCATGTCTAACTACCATGGAGACTTTTCTAGAAAAATGTTACTTATAGGAAAGACATTTGGTTGAGTCATTTTCCTTTGCCTCTGGGAAATTAATGTTTGTCTTGATTATTTATATAAGTTTTAATTGAGACTCTTCTCTAAGTAACTTCAGCTTTCTGTCTTGGCTTCCTTAATATTCTAGGCTTTGTTCCTGGGAACCTCATTTGCTAGCTGATCGGATTTTTACTTTTTTTTTTCTTGTTATGTTAATAGGTTCTGAGATTTTTAAAACTTCTACCTGAACCTACCTTAGGGAAGTTTAAAGAGTGTATCTCATTTGTGTATGTATTTAAATATAGTTCTTCTAATTCTGGTGCAAAAACATAAGGATACCTAACAGCCAGTTTTTTGGTTGTTGTGCTGGTTTAAAGGTAAACTGGCAGGAGAAATGAACTCAAAAGAGATTATAAGTCAAGAGTTACAATTTAATAACAATAATACAATTATACGGACAAACAATTGGTTTTAACCCACAAAACCCAGATGTATAAGCCAGCACCCTGGGGCACAGAGTGGTGTTTGTTGGCCCCTGTGCTGAGCCCCACGTGGTTCCCCTGAGTCCAAAGTAAGAGGGGAGGAAAACCTGTTGATGAGAGTGCTGGTTGCAGCCTGGTCAAGGGTGGTGGTCGCAGTCCAGTCGAGGTTCTGATCCTCTGGATCCAATGAGTAGGGCCCAGAAGTCCCACAACCCCAAGATGATATACACTCTGTTTTGAGTGGGAATGCCCAGTACCTCCCCCAGGGCAGGGAGTTCCACAGTGGGTGATTGTGAGTCGTGAGATATTTTTGGAATCCTTGGTGGCCCATTAGCAGACATGCTCACCCACCTCATTCCAGGTGTGGAGGTGCTAATGAGTCCCTGGAGGGGAGTCATTTCTGTGAGGATAGGAACATCCTCCTATCTCACAGGCTTCTTAACACTCAGCTTATAGCCTGAGGGGTCAGGTGTGCTCTGGGCAGCTGCTGCAAATGGTCTGTTGTTAACAGTTCTTGGGAAATGACATAGAGGGTGTAGAATACACAGTTTGGGTTACACCTAAACAGTGATGAACTGGCTGCTCTAACTAGGACTATTGTGAATTTCAGTTAGTTCTTAGTACAGGCACAAATGCATGAATAAGTTCATACATATGACAGGTTTTGCAGAATAAGGAGAGCACATAATACTGTACCTCTTTATGCAGAATTGTTATCTCCACAAACAGATGTGTTACCATTTTCATGCTTATATGTTACAGGCTAGAAAGAGAGCATCAACATTGTGTGTCAGTGTGTGAATCTATTTCTAGAAGAGAGGAAGACTGGGAAATGAAGTGGAAAACATTTCTTGGCCATCATCCTTTTAATTCAATCTTTAAAGAGGATCGAGTAAGTAGTGTTCGGTTTATCTGATTCTGGGGAAGAGAAGGTGAGGGAGGATGTACATCTACACTTAAGCTTTATATGTGAGGCTGGGGGCATTACATAGTGCAGAATAGCTGATTATGCTTTATGAAGTCTTTCCAAAAGAGAATACATTTGACTTTATGACAGCTGTGTCTTCATTTGAGATTTGGGAATGGAACCATCTTGTCAAGATAGTAGATCAGTGTAAGAGTGAAGTGATTGGTTTTGGTTTTGTCTCTGTTCATCCCCCTGTGGAAGTTGATCATTTGTGTGCTCTCAGTCTGAGTTCTGTTTTTCCCTTCTAGAGTGGTGTGCTTGATGAATGAACAAAAATTTCCATTCTGGCACTCGAAGGTTATACCCTTGCCTGGCTACCCAGCAGAGAGAGAAGCTTCATGTTGAGTCTGAGAGCTGATTTGCAAAAAAGCTGTTGTAAATAACTATCTGTTAATTGCTGTTGATAAGCAGATTTTTTCAGCCTCCTTGTGTAACCTTTTCCTTCGTTTTGAAAGGAACGTAGTTCAACAGCTTCACCACCCCAGTCTCCTAGTCTTCCAGAAGAAGATAAAGAGAGTGACCTTCATCAATATCTAGCATCAATTTCAGGTGGGTGACCAGGAGAAGCTTCTTTTTCTTCTCCCCCACTGCCACAATTGTTAAAAGTTACTTGGAGTCAAAAAGGCTCCCTGCCTGTGTTTGCAGATATTCTATAGTAGTCTGTGGTAATCTGGTTCTGAATGACTCTTCGTCACAATTTTTCAGCCTTGTCCTGTCTGGGAGATCCTCTGAAGTTTGGCAAAAACCCAGTGCTGAGCTGTTTGATATTTTGTTGGTCTTGTACAAATGATGTTGAGACAGATTTATGTGTACAAAGGTTCATGGGTTCTAGAAAATACATTCAGTAAAGATATTGGGTTGAAGGAGTAGTAAGAAAGACAGAAAGAAGATAAACCTTCCCCACTGGTCACATAGGAAAAGAAACTGAAGGTGTCCTTGCAGGTAAGTATCTTTCCCTAGTACATTGTGAAATAATTCCATAGTAACTGTGCCATTTGATTAGGACCTTATTTGATGCATCCAGTCATTAGGTTACCAGTGTTGATCAAAGCTCACTTTGATTATGGTTGTTGTACATGCTAATCAGCTGATAGGCTGATTATATTTTACTGGGTAATGCTTATTGACAAAGTGCTGATGTCCCTAGTGGAGTTAGAAGCTACAAAGCAAGGGGGAAGACTGCTCGAGTCGTGTCACTTGCAGTCCCTCCTAGGAAAAATGGCATAGCAGAGGCATATTGGAATTTCAAGATGCAAAACAATAGCAAGAAGGTCCTTTTGGTTACAAAGATGAAAGTGCTTCTCCAGCAGTCTGAGGCTACGTGGGTATAAGGCTAGAAGCCGCAAAGCAAAGGCCACAGATCTGCAAATGGAAGGAAGGTAGTTTGCCTTAAAAATTTTAAAAGATTGTGCAATGATGCTGTGAGCTGGTAGTATCCAAAAGCTTGAAACAGACTGTGTCTGTGACATTCTCTCTACTCTGTGGTTAAGATGCTTAATTGGAGAATCCAGCCATTAAGAAAACTTAACCTTCTGCCTGTTGATATAGTAAGCTCTAAAAATTAACCTCACCTAACTACCTGATGTGAGCTTGGATTTTGAATGTGTTGTTGAGGTGAAGGCAACAGGAAATGCCATTTGTCTTTGCAGAAGCTGAAATTTAGGGTTAGTAGAGAACTAGTGAGATTAAACTTCAGCTTTTCATTAAAGATGTGCCAAAATTAGTATTTATTATTCTAGAGGGTCCTTAGCTGAGGTATGTGTACCTCTGATAATGTGCAAAACATTTACTTATAGTGTGCTTTGCCTTGCTTAAACTAAGGCAGCAAAAAGGATGAGAGATATTAATAAATGCAGTTGGGGTAAACATGAGTGGAATTGTGCTTTGTGTAGTTGATGTGCCACACAACTGATGCATTTATGGAGAGGTGAGGCCAATAATGATGTGGCTGGGATTGTAGTTTGGAAGAAGGTGGAACATGTGATTGATAATGTAGGGCAGCAGATGGTACCATTCTTCTTGAACATGTGTTCAGGAACAACACAAAGACCTGGCTACTAGTGGCATCTGTGGCTACAGGTGGTACCTGAGCAAAAGGATTGATAACATTGTCCTGCTTGCATATTAATTTATTTTTCTTGAAGAGTTTCAGAAAGTCCATTCTGTGAGTAGTCTACAGAAGTGGTCTGAGTCAGTCATGTCACCTGGAAAGCCTGAGCAAAGAAAACGGAAGCAATAATAAAACTTTCTGCTTGCTTTTCTAGGTATTTTTGACTCTCTTAATAAAGAACGTTGTGAGAAAGATGAGGGAGGTTTGGAAACTATGATGGATAAGTCATCATCACCACCAAAATGGTATGCTTAATGAGAAAATGATAAAAAAGCAATGGGAAAAAAAAAAGAAATTTATTTGCTGGACTTGAATATTTTGCATGTCTTGAACCTTAGTGGAATATTTCAGTAGCCCATTTCTTACATGTCACCACCACCTAATTTAGCAAGATAGACCTAAAGTAACTGCTGCTTTCTCTGGCTGGTGACTGATTGATCAACTAGTTGCTGCTGAATAGGATGCGTAGCAGCCAAGTTGCAAGGTTTTTACCTCACTTTTTAAATATATTGTTCCAAGCTTTAAGAAGTGGGTGGAGAGAAAAGAAAATTTTGTTTCTTAGGCTAAACCTCCTCAACAAGACTTTTTTCATGACTCTTCTTGAGAGTTACAATTATGTTGTTCTGTAACTACTCTATATTACCAGCGAAGGATAGAACACAGAAAAATGATATTCTAAAATTTTTTGCCCGTTTGTCATTTGCTTAGTCCAGGAATGTTTCATGACATTTTGAATAATTCTGTATTTCATAATATGAATCCTACACATACTTGAAAGTTTCCTACTAGGAGAGAAAGGGAGTGTCGTGGGTTGAGGTGGCTGGGTTTTTGGTAGTGGAGGGGGGCTACATAGGGTGGCTTCGGTTAGAAGCTGCTAGAAGTTTTCCCCCCAGTGAAGCCAGTGATAGCTGGCTACAGGAGGGACTTCCTGCTGCTGGCCAAGGGAGAACCAATAATTGTGCTTCTGTGATAACATATTTAAGAATAATTAAGAACAATGCACAGAAGAATTCCGGCCAGGGGAGAGCTGACTGAAGCTCCTAGGTGGCCCTGCTGCCTCCCCCACTGTGGGGGTGGAGGGGTGGGCAGCAGCAGCCCGGCCTGGGCCTCTCAGCACCTAGCCCAGAGCAAGCAGTGGTGCCCCAGCTGAGCCGCCTGTGCTGCTCTTGGCAGTGCTGGCCGAGCTGAACAGCAGCCCCTGTGGAGGGGTGGATGGGGCTGGGGCAGCACACTGTGGTGCAGCCGAGCCCATGCTGGAGCAGATGGATGCATGGAAGAAGGCTGTTACCCCCCATGGAAGGCCCAGGATGGAGCAGAGTCCTTCAAGAGACTTGTGGCCCATGAAGAGGAAAATCCACACCACAGCAGGTTGTTTCCAGGTAGGACTCATGGCCCTGTGGGGAATCCACATCGGTACAGCTCACCCTGGGGGACCCCTGGTGGTCTAGTGGTTAGGATGCAGCACTCTCACCGCTGTGACCTGGGTTTGATTCCCGGTTAGGGAAACTCCCCCGGGGCAAATGGAGCTCATCAGCCCTGTAAGGCCATCCATCTAAGAGAAGGTCACTCTAAACAAACCTACATCCTGAGGACCTCACTGCCACCGTCCAAGCTCGCTGGGCTCTGGCAGATGAGCCTTAGGATTAAAGGGTGGGCTCAGTTCAGCGCACACTGTGTCTCACCTAAAAAATCCACTGTGCAGGCTCGAAGGGTAAAGACCTTTCCCAAATCTTCGTTCGTGAAGACTGGCCATACAGCTCAACCTATGAAGGACTGCATCCTATGAAGGACCATTGGAGTGCAGAGGCCCCCCTGCACCCCATGGAGAAGTGACTCTCGGGACGGTAGGTATGGAAGAACTACTGCCTGAGGAGTGGACGCACCTTGGAGAGGTCCATCAGAGACTATTACCTGTGGGAGGGACTCCACGGAGTAGGGGAATGACTCAGTGCCCCCCATGTAACCTGTGGTGAGGACCATGGTGAAGCAGGCTGTTCTCCTGCAGCCCATGGAAGAGTGACCTATGAGACAGCAGATTTGGAAGAACTGTTGTCCGAGGGGTGGACTTGTCCCCCTGCACTGCTGCGGGGGGAGGAGGCAGAACATGGAAGGAAGGAGGGGTGAGTGGAAAGTGTGTTTAAGACTGTTTTATATCTTGCTCTTTAGATCTTGTCCTGTTAGTCATAAACTTTAGTATTAACCCCACCTTGAGTCTATTTTGCCTGTGTGGCCTCTCCCAGCTCAGAGTGACTTCAGTGGGTACCTAGAATCTGGCCAAGGTCAACCCACCACAGGAGTTAGCAAAGGAAGCTTGTCCTTTATTGGACATATGATTCTTAGACATATGTCTAAGAATACTAAGATACTTAGCAGAAGTAATTGAAGATTTTAAGGTGTGCTTTTCCTAACAAGTGAGGACTGCATTTTTGAGAGCTATGAAATTAGCACTAAACTCCCTAGAAGTGTTAAGGCTGAAGTCTTTGGTAGCCAGGGGATTGTTAAATATCAACAAGTTTGTGTAGGAACAGACCTGTGCATGCTGGAAGTGATTCAGACAAAGAATACAATATCTAGGAGAAAGAATGATGTCAAGTCTGCAGAAGATTTTTCAGTTATCTTTGATTGCAGAATGCCGAAAACTTGTTTACAAAAGTATCGCAAAATCCCCCTTTTCTGTGTAGTAATCAAGGGCAAAGTTTATTAAATTATTAATTTTGGGAGGCTGATACACAAGTAGGGCTAAATCTGCCCTAATTGTCACATTGTTCTCCCTATAGTAAAATTGCTTTCTGATGACCGGGACGAATTGAGGGAAATCGTAACGGACAGATACGGAGCATACAATATGTAAGAGCCTTTTAAGATGCCAGGCACCCACTGAAGCTGCTCTCTCACTCTCCCCTCTGCAACCAGACAGAGGAGAGAGAAAAAAAAACAGCTAAGGATTCATGAGTTGAGATAAAAGCTGGGAGAGGTCAGTTATTGATTACCTTCATGGGCAAAACAGACTCAAAGTGAGGATAGTACTTAAAATTAGTACTAACAGGATAAGAGCAAAAGAGTGAGAAATAAAACGATCTTAAAAAACACCTTCCCCTCACCCCTCCTTCCTTCCATGTTCTCCCTTCTCCCCCCCAGCAGTGCAGGAGGACAGGAATGGGGGTTGCTGTTTCTGCCGCTGCTCAGGGAGAGGAGTCCTTCCCCTGCTCCCATGGTGTCCCTCCCATGGGAGACAGTCCTTGATGGACCTCTCCAACATGAGTCCATCCCTCGGGCAGCACTTCTTCCCAAACTGCTGTCCCATGGATCACGCCTCCATGGGGTGCAGTGCTTCATGGATGAGCTGTACCGATGTGGGTCCCCCACAGGGGCCACAAGTCCTACCCGTGTAAAACCTGCTCCAGCATGGGCTTCCCTCTCCACAGACTGCAGGTCTCTGGCAGGATCCTGCTCCATCCTGGGCCTCCTCCCACGGGGTCACAGCCTCCTTCATGCATCCACCTGCTCCAGCATGGGTTTCTCCATGGGCTTCAGGTGGGTCTCTGCACCCCAATGGCTCTCCATGGGCTGCAGGGGCACAGCTGCTCCACCATGCTCTGCACCATGGGCCACAGGGGCCTCAGCTCTGGCGCCTGGAGCACCTCCTGCCCCTCCTTCTGCTCTGACCTTGGTGTCCACCTTGTTATTCCCATGTTCTCACTCCGCTCTTCCCTGTCTGGAATTCCTTCTGCGCAACAATCTTCTGTTCTTAAATATGTTATCACAGAGGCATTACTATCATTCCTGATTGGCTCGGCCGTGGCCAGCAGCAGGAAGCCCATCCTGGAGGCGTCTGGCATTGGCTCCACCGGACAGGGGAAGGTTCTAGCAGCTTCTAACAGAAGCCACCCCTGTAGCCTTCCACTGCTATCAAACAAACCTAGCCACAGAAACGCATTAGCAGGCTTTCATGTGGCATTGATGCTGTTTCCTCCAGTTGTTCAGAGGGTATCAGCAAACATGACAGGGAGTATTTTCTTTCATTAGATTTTGGCAATGGTGTCTTAATAAATTCTTCATTCAAGGAGAATACTACTACAGGACTGCAAAATTCATGTTTCTTTCTTTCTTCTGGTGCAGGACTGATCTACCGCTTTCAGACTCACCTCCATTATCCTCTTCTGTTTCAGATGCAGTCTTTTTAGTGCTTTATGTCAGTTGGACAGGGACTGTAGGGGTAGGTATGATTTTTCAATATCCCCATTATTTTCTGAATTACTTGTTACATTTGATATCAAAATCAGATTCTAAGCCTGGAGACAAGCTGAGATCCATGCTATCATATTCTGGAAGTGTCTCATCCAATACTCCCATGTAGCCAGTTTCACTTCATTTTGCAAAGCCTGCTTCAGATCTTCTACAGAAGCAGTACAATCTAGTTCCTGTGCTTCAGTTCTCTCAGTCTCTTGTATTCCAGATGTATTTGACTCTGAAGATTCAAACCCATGACTTATTCTCACCTGCTTTTAAGGACTAGATTCCAGAGAACTTAACCTGGGACTTTTTTTCTGACTGTAAATAAGATTCTACAGAGGAAAACAAAATCTCTTGAATCGAATTCACAGTATTCATATCTTATTAGGCCTACTGCATTGTGTTACAGAGTGAACCATTCAGGTAACTTGCAGCTTTACTGAAATAATTCACTTTTTTTTCCTGTGCAATATGTCAACAAACTAATCACTTTTCTAATCAAGGAGCCTTATAAGAACAGTTTCAAACTTACGCAGATTTTCTGGAGTTCGGGGAATTTCTCTCCTTGTTATAAATGGGTTAAAACACAGTGAGCTAATGAGATCATCTAATGGCATTCCTTTTTCTTCATCACTGTCAGGTGACTCAGACATCACAGTCTTTGCAATCTGTAGGATATTAGAGAAGGGTAAATTCTGAGAAAGCAAAACTGAAACCTCTTTATTTCTATCAGGTATGGTTCAAAATAAATCCCACTCTCCAAATCATCTGGAGAATTTGAAATATCTCAACTTTTCCATAATTTATTATTTAGGTTCACAATGACCATAGTGTCCCACAAAATGAAAAGAGGGGACTGAAATCAGAATTCAACTCTAAGTTCTCTCATCATCTATGAATCTGTCTTTCAAATAAGAAAGTGGGCTCAGAATATATTTAAGACATTAGTCAAGAACTGCATAAACATGAAGACTAGAGCTATATTTACATAAGTAAAACACTTTAGCAGATGAAATGTAACTAGTGAAAATTTTTAGTGAAAAATGCTATTTATTTTCCATTTATGACCGTTTATTTAAAAACAAACAAATTACTTCCTAACCTCTTCTGCCAGTTCATCTCTGGCTTTCTCAAGAAGGTCTTCTTTTTCCACAGGAGTCATTGGCAGGGTAACATCTTGACCTGAATTCTCTTGCATTTCTGAAATGAGGAACTCTTCCTTTCCATTTTTTAGGATTTGCGGAGGCACAGGTTTTTTATTTCCCCCAAAAGTTTCCGTATGCAAATTCTAGAGGAAGATTCAGGAATTATTAGCAGTTGTAAACTCAAGTGCTAGAATATTAGCATGAACAAATTGCTGTATGAATTCCAAAAAGCAATGGCCCAAATATTTAGTCAATAAAAATATTTCAGTCTTGAACTCTAACTAAAGACAAAATATTTTTACAACTGTATTCAAAGTAGGACATAAGTAGTGACCAGGACAGGTTGTTATACACGACACAGACGATTTACAACTCATTTGCAACTACCTCCAACACAGTACAGTGAACAATTGTGCAATGGACAGCTGTACATGCAAGTTGATTTTACAGCACTTTTTAACCCTCAAGTTTATACACACTTAAAGAAACGAAGTCTGACCACAGCTCACACCAAAAAGAATGTTTCAGCAAGCAGGGAATCAGTCACACACTGTATGTTACCCTGGAAGTCAGGTACAGTGCACCTCTTTCCTCCTGCCCTATTTACGGTTTTACAGGACTGACTCAGATGGGTAAGAATACTGCTAAAAAACAAAAACAAACAACACACAAAACCAAGCCAACCAAACACATAACCGCAGTAAAAAAAACCCAAAATCCCACAACCCTCTCCCACAAAGTCTAGGTTTTGATCAATATAAAAAGTACATGTCCTAAGTTTAACTTATTGACAGGTAGAAAATTACATTTTTGATCAACAGGTCTCTGTTTTCAGGTGCTTCCAACAACTTCGACGGCACTGAAGAGATCCTTGAGGGGGAGAGAAAGAGAGTGTAAAAAAAGAAAAAAACCCACACCAAAAATTTTAGAGACAAATTAAACTTGCGGAATGCTGTAGTGCGTTTCTGTTGCTGGGTTTTGGTAGCAGGGGGGGCTACAGGGGTGGCTTCTGTTAGAAGCTGCTAGAACCTTCCCCTGTCCGGTGGAGCCAATGCCAGACGCCTCCAGGATGGGCTTCCTGCTGCTGGCCACGGCCGAGCCAATCAGGAATGATAGTAATGCCTCTGTGATAACATATTTAAGAACAGAAGATTGTTGCGCAGAAGGAATTCCAGACAGGGAAGAGCGGAGTGAGAACATGGGAATAACAAGGTGGACACCAAGGTCAGAGCAGAAGGCGGGGCAGGAGGTGCTCCAGGCGCCAGAGCTGAGGCCCCTGTGGCCCATGGTGCAGAGCATGGTGGAGCAGCTGTGCCCCTGCAGCCCATGGAGAGCCATTGGGGTGCAGAGACCCACCTGAAGCCCATGGAGAAACCCATGCTGGAGCAGGTGGATGCATGAAGGAGGCTGTGACCCCGTGGGAGGAGGCCCAGGATGGAGCAGGATCCTGCCAGAGACCTGCAGTCTGTGGAGAGGGAAGCCCATGCTGGAGCAGGTTTTACACGGGTAGGACTTGTGGCCCCTGTGGGGGACCCACATCGGTACAGCTCATCCATGAAGCACTGCACCCCATGGAGGCGTGATCCATGGGACAGCAGTTTGGGAAGAAGTGCTGCCCGAGGGATGGACTCATGTTGGAGAGGTCCATCAAGGACTGTCTCCCATGGGAGGGACACCATGGGAGCAGGGGAAGGACTCCTCTCCCTGAGCAGCGGCAGAAACAGCAACCCCCATTCCTGTCCTCCTGCACTGCTGGGGGGGAGAAGGGAGAACATGGAAGGAAGGAGGGGTGAGGGGAAGGTGTTTTTTAAGATCGTTTTATTTCTCACTCTTTTGCTCTTATCCTGTTAGTACTAATTTTAAGTACTATCCTCACTTTGAGTCTGTTTTGCCCATGAAGGTAATCAATAACTGACCTCTCCCAGCTTTTATCTCAACTCATGAATCCTTAGCTGTTTTTTTTTCTCTCTCCTCTGTCTGGTTGCAGAGGGGAGAGTGAGAAGAGTGGCTTTAGTGGGTACATGGCAGGGTCAACTCGCTGCAACCTACTACATAAATTGAATAGTAAGTGTCCATGTTATTATTTCGTCCATTCTGTCACTAGTTATACTACCATGAATAGTTGAACCCTGCTATGGAAGTGGAGGGAGGTAGATTATTTGCGTGATTATTCCTTGTGGAAGATGAGACATAAAAGCAAAGTAAACATGCTAGCTTTAGTTCTTTCAACATCTTGCAAGTATGAGGAAAAATGCTCATCTGACTTTATGAGGTAATCTGCAGCTATTGAAGAAAAAGCCTTAGGGTGCATTAGCAATGGAGTAATCTGAAGTTAGATTTTGAGAATTCACAAAGTTAGTTGAAAATTGTGTATTTACTCTGAACAAATATGGCTGTTTAGAAATGTGTTGTAGGTTGTTGAAACTTTTGTGAATTCATTAAGGTGTTAGTAGTCTGAACTATGCTGCATTCCAGCCTACCTGTCTCCTTATCCTATTTCCAACAGAAGTGTCAAGTCTGTTTAACCAGTAGTGCAGTGTTTAGTAGTTACATGTGAGGTCAATTTTTGAAATGCATTAATAAAAATGAAATGGTAATAATGATACAAAAGACTTCCATGAAAACAGATGGTGTGCAGAAATGTGATAAGGGGCCCCCATGGAACTGAGTTTAGCAAGGGATAACAACGGCTACAAGTACCTTAGCAGCAAAAGGAAGATTAAGGGAAATGTGGGGCTGCTACTGAATCAGATGCGTAACCTTGTGGTGGAAGACAAAGAAAAGGTGGAATTACTGAATGCCTTCTTTGCCTCAGTCTTTACTGCTGAGGCCAGCCCTCAGTAAACCCAGATGCTGGAGGTAAGAGAAGAATGCTAGAGAAGGGAAGACTTCCCCTTGGTTGCAGAGGGCTGGGTTAGAGATTGGTGAGGCAGATTTAACACCATAAATCCACGGGCCCTGATGGGATGCACCCATGGGTGCTGAGGGAGCTGGCAGATGTTGTTGCTAAACCACTCTCCATTATCTTTGAAGAATCATGGAGAACAGGAGAGGTGCCTGAGGAGAAAAGCCAACATTACTTCCCATTCAAAAAGAGCAAAAAGGAGGACCCGGGAAACTACTGGCCAGTCAGCCTCACCTCAGTCCCCAGAAAGGTGATGGAACAGGTCATTCTGGAGGTCATCACCAAGCAAGCAGAAGAAAAGAGAGTCATGGAGAGTAGTCAGGATGGATTCACGAAGGGGAAATCCTGATTGACCAATCTGATAGCCTTCTATGATGGCATGGCAGGACAGGTTGATAATAGGAGAGCAGTGGATGTTGTCTACTGTTAAGGAAACTTCTCAGTCTGACCATTCATGTGACTTTCTGGCAGTCACACTCACAATGCCAGAGACTTTCGCTGTTGGGACTGAAGCCCCTTCACAGCGGATGGCTCAGTGAGCCCACGAGTGCTGCACTTGACTCCCCCCCCACACCACACTCACACAGTCAGACAAGGTTTCCTTACAGGTTTGACCCCATGTTTCCCTTAGCAGCATCTCAGATGTCTCATTCCCTAAATGAGACATTTAGGGAATGTCTCATTTCCTAAAGTCATTTATTCCCAGCATAGTAATAGAAACAACTCAAGCTGGGTACCTCCAAGGAGGACCCCTAATAAAGGTACACCCTGGACTTTTATACCCTCACAGTGTCCCTACATGTGAGTCTTGCTCTTCTTCATGTCCCTGTGTTCATCCACCTTCCTGTGTCACCAGTCTTCATGTCTTTTATTATCCAAAAGGTCAGCAGTTTCCAGCTCCTGCTGTGTCTCAGTGTCTGCTCACCTGGCTGGCTGTCACCTATGCTCATGGCCTTTTTTATCCTGAAGTTCAGCAGTTCGTGACCTCTTGTCACAGATTCTCGTGCAGAGCTCAATCTGCATCTCTGCGGTTTGCTAGTCCAGCTACCTGGACCATATGTATTCCTCAGAACTACCTCGACTTCTGCAAGGCTTTTGACCTTGTCTCCCATAACATCCTTGTAGGTAAGCTAAGGAAATGTGGATTAGATGAATGGGCAGGGAGGTGGATGAATAACTGGCTGAATGGCAAAGCTCAAAGGGTTGTAATCAGTGGAGCAGAATCCAGCTGGAGGCCTATAGCCAGTGGTGTTCCCCAGATACTGGGGAAGTTGATACTGGGTCCAGTCTTATTCAACTTATTTATCAATGACCTTCATGAAGGGATGGAATGGACTCTCAGCAAGTTTTCAGATGATAGAAAGCTGAGGGGAGTTATGACCTGCCCCTGAAGGTGAGAGTAACTCAAGTTCTTGTTAATAGACCCCTTGGGGTGGATTAGAGTGAAAGACACTGAATGATCAGTGTGGTGTTTGTAGATATATATGTAGGGTTTATTTAGAACAATTTAGTTGCAATGGAAAGCAAGTATGTAGCAGTTCTGGTTATTATCTATAGTAATAGGGCAATATGAAAGCACTTAGAAAATGTGTAAGAGAAAAGGAAAGGAAGGAAGAGAAAGAAAGGATAAGAGTAGAAAGATTCATAATCACCATGCATGAATCTACGATGAGACTTGATTGTTGCACTGTTGGTCGAAGTCACGGTCTTGATCCATGGAGGGTGGGGGAAGAAGCCCATGAAACACAAAGTCCTATGGGTTAATATACATTCAGATTAGGTGGAAACGCCTGGTACCTCTTCTGGGGTGGGGGGGTGGTTTCAGTCCTCTCATGGAGTCCTCAGAAATGAGTCTGGGGGTGCTTTGGGGGTCTTTGATGGTTTATGGCCCCTTCTAAGACATGACAGCTGCCTCTCACATCAGTGTGGTTAAGCCACTTATGCTCCATCAGACCTTCCCTGAGGTGGGACGGGGAAGTTTTACAGCTGAGCAGAGTTGGGTAAGGTATAATAATTACCGTGATAGAAGGCACCATCTAACCTTGCAGGGTTTGCCTCTTACTGGCCTCAAAGCCCAGCTTCAGCATAGCACTTCGGCGCCTCCACAGTTGTTTTAAGTCATTAACCATTAACAGTCCAGTCTCTCACACTGTTACACCTGAAGGCTGTGCTGCCATTCAGTGAGACCTTTATAGGCTGGAGAGTCAGGCAAAGTGAAACCTAATGAGGTTCAACGAGGCCAAGTGTACGGTCCTTCACCTGGGGAGGAATAACCCCAAGTACCAGTGCAGCTGGGGACTGACCAGTCCCAGAGCAGCTCTGCAGAGAAGGACCTGTGAGTCTTGGTGGATGACAAGTTGACTGTGAGCCAGCAGTGAGCCCTTACAGCCAGGAAGGCCAATGGTATCCTGGGGTGCACTGGGAAGAGTGTGGCCAGCAGGCTGAGGGAAGTGATCCTCCTCCTCCTCTACTTGGCCCTGGTGAGGCCACATCTGGAGTGCTGTGTCCAGTTCTGGGCTTCTCAGTACCAGAGAGACATGGAGGTACTGTAGAGGGTCCAGTGGAGGGCTACAATGATGATCAGGGGTCTGGAACATCTCTCTGATGAGGAGAGACTGTGGGAGCCGGGCCTGTTTAGTCTGGAGAAGAGAAGACTGAGAGGGAATCTCATCAATACGTACAAATCTCTCAAAGGTGGATGTTAAGAAGATGGTGCCAGACTCATTTCAGTGGTGCCCAGTGACAGGACATGGAGCAGTGGCCATAAACTAAAACACAAGAAGTTCCACTGTAACGTGAGGAAGAATTTGTTTACACTGAGGGTGGCAGAGCACTGGAACAGGCTGCCCAGGGAGGCTGTGGAGTCTCTCTCTTTGGAGACATTCAAAACCCACCTGGATGTGTTCCTGTGTCACCTGCTCTAGGTGATCCTGCCTTGGCAGTGATGTTGGACTAGATGATCTCTGGAGGTCCCTTCCAACCCTAACAATCATGTGATGGTGTGATTTAATGGAGTACTAGAAATTTAACACAAGCTAGTCTCAAGGAGTAGGGCGATTTATACTTTGTGCAAAGGCTTGCTGCAGTTTAGCTGTAACTTAACATTTGGCTGTATTGATAGCAACTGATTGATAGCAACCAAAATTAAAGTACTGTTTCAAATATGTCTTTTTAATATATCTAGAACACTTTCAGAGCAGTATATCTGTCTAGTAATTAAATATTACAGAGTGCAAACTAATATGCTTTGTCTTTCAGATAAGAAGAGTTGAATAAGAAGCTGGGCACAAAGGAACCGTCATCAGGATACAATTTGTAAAGCAGAAGCATAACTATAGTAGCACAATTATGATTCACTTGACCAAGTATCCTCTCCAGTCATTGCCTGGATGGGGGAAGTTGCACTGCTTTCTTTTTTTGGAGACTGTATTACAGCCTCCTTGTTTAAGAGTGTCAGTTGCCTGCTCTGGTTCTGCTAGTTTCATGTCATCCATGGTGACATTGTATATACCCACATCTTTTTACAGAACTGTCTTTTCTTTTTTAAGCATATTAAAAATAGCAAATACTAAGTGGCAAAATCCTAGAAAATGGAAAAATGAAATCTCAGATGAGAAACAGTGAATTCTGCGGTGTTTCTATTTTGCTCCTAATGCACACCCCGTAGCCCCCCAGCCCTCAAAACCAACAACTTCAAATTTAACTTGATGCTCTACATTCTATTACATTCATCTCTCTTCCTGAGAGTTCTGGTCTATATTGCCACAAATTCTGCCTGTTCTCTTCTTCTAAACTTCCACTGGAGTGTTTATTTCTTAAAGTGTATTACTGAATAAATGCTTTACACTAATGTTACAAAAATTTATGACTTGTGATAATGTTAATGCAATTTTATTTTAACATCATCATGGCCAGGCTTCGTGAACGAAGATTTGGGGAGGGCTCTACCCACATTTGTTACAAGCGTGCTGGTGGCTAAAAAGGCCAATACAAGATAGACAAGTCCAGTTGCAAAAGGCACAGCAGAAGGACTCCTTAGGTGGAATATTCTGCAAGACATGATTCTTTCTGCTTTACTTTAACAACTCACATATATATATGTTACATTGTGATGTGAGTAACTGATAGTAGAGCAATGAGGTGATGAGGTGAGAATGTAAAAGCTGAGGTTCGAGCAGGTAAACTTCTTATTGTAAAAGTACTAACTCCTACCCTGATATGTTTAGTGCTTGGAAGCATTGTTAAATAAAGTTGTTTTTCTTTTCCAATATGTCTTTCTTCCCAAGCAGTTGCATTAGGTTTTACGAAGAATGTCCACCTGTATTTGCCATCTTCCTTATAAGGCAGAAGTTGACAAGCTTTATGAAAAGACGTATAGGTGGTTGAGGAAGCTATTATGTGTATAATGTGGCTGTGTACATGTTAACAGATAAGAGGGAAGTGCTGCTTAATAGCCTATTGACATGTTGATCATGGTCAGACAGTGAATTTGCTGGTCTGCAGATCTGACAATTGACAGGTGGGGGTCAGTCTCTTCTCCCAGGTAACAAGTGACAGGATGAGAGGAAATGGCTTCAGGTTGCACCAGGGAAGGTTTAGGTGTTAGAAAAAAATTCTTAATGGTAAGGGTTGTAAAGTATCGGGACAGGCTTCCCAGGGAAGTGGTGAGGTCACTATCCCTGAAAGAGTTCAAAGAGCGTAAGAATATGGCACTCGAGTACATGATTTAATGGCGGACATAGTATTGGTGCGAGGTTGTTTGTTGGACTTGGTCTTTTCCAACCTTAATGATTCTGTGATACTGTTATGACCTTAGCTGTTGGCTGTCTGGAACAGGCCCAGCTGTGTTTTGTGCAGACCTAGGCTCTAGAGCTTGGTGCTGGTGACTTCATAAACGTTGCCCAGGTGGCTAGATGAGTTAGTAGGATAGCTGCATGTAAGGATGTGGATAATACCTTGACCATGGCCTGTCTTAAGAAAAATCAAACTGTAATTTGGGTTGCTACTACATTGACAATTCAGGATTAAAAAGTGGCAGCTAAGAATTTGAGTTTCCTGTGGACAACTGACCTTGACATTCCAAGTTTTAGGTGTGAAAGTAGAATCTTTACTCCTTGCAGCTAAGTGCAACACTCTGGTCTTTGTGTTATAAGTAGTAGCTCACCTGTTCGCTAGTTTGTGTTGGATACTTAGGTAATTTTTGGTTAGGCTTATGTCAGAAGGCCATCATAATTGGATTGAAATTCTGGATTAAATTATCTTGTAGAGCAATGATCTACTGATTAGCAAGGGGCAGTTGAGAACATCAGGGTGTTACTAGCAGCCACAAATACAACTCTGTATGCATTTCTGTGACTTCTTTAAACCTGGGTGTTTGCTGAAGATGAATACAGTGTTCCTAATGTACAGTGTTAAATGTCTTAAGATACCTGTCAAGAAATACCATTCAGGAGTTCTTGCCCATTAAACACTGGAAAGCTAAGTTTCTCATGAACCTCCTAATCTAAAGACTCTTCCATTTAACTTCCTGATAGTATGTAATTTGGGCTTCTGAAGTTAGGTGCACTGAATTATCATTAGCTGAAAACACAGTGCAAGTACCTTGCTTTCCTCTCCAGAGGACAATATGCCATAATTTTGTGCAGCGCTGCAGAGCAATCATTGTTTCACAGTTCAGGTTTGCCCATCCTTGCCAGGTAAATTCCAAACGGACAGGTTTATGAACTTGTATACTCCTTGGTCTCTTTTTTTACCTTGGAAGATTATACTAACGTTTTCTTGCCAAAGCTTATAGGCATTGCTCATAAAGGTTTGATGAAGTATCTGGAATATCTTTCTCCAAGTACAATGATATTTATTATATCATGAGCAACACGGTAGGCTGAGAGAGTTGGGCCTGTTCAGCCTCAAGAAGAGAAAACTGAGACAGGACTCCATCAATGTGTTCAAGCACCTGAAGAGAAGGTGTCAGGAGGGTGGAGCCAGGCTCTTTTCAGTGGTGCTGAGCAACAGAACAACGATGGCAACAGACAGAAACTGGTGCACAGGAAGTTCCACCTGAACAAATGGAAGAACTTTATTGTGTGGGTGATCATGCACTGGAGCAGATGGTGCAGAGATGATATGGAATCTCTCTCACTGGTGATGATTCATGAACCGTCTGGATGTGATTCTGTGCCATGTGCTCTAGGATGACCCTGCTTGAGCAGGGAAGTTGGACCAGATGTCCCACTGTGGTCCCTTCCAACCTGACTCATTCTGTGATAGTGTCAAGTACTATGATGTTTGGTAGTACTGTATCCCATAATCTGTGGTTATGAAAAACCACAGATTGTGCTACAATTACATACAATTACAGCACTTAACTTTGCAATCTGTCCTGTGCTGAACATACATCAGTCTATTTTTTTTGAGAAGTAAATCTAAAAGGACATATTTGAAAGTCTCTAGTTCGCTGAGCATTGAAAAATGCAAGTACAGTTCAGTCAGTGTATTTCTGCACGTAATGGGAGAGAATCAGGAGGGTAAATCTAGAAAACTAGTGGGTTGAGCCCATACTGGCCACCGTCAAGAAAATCAACTCTACCCCTGGCAAAACCAGCACATCATGAAACCTTTTTTTTTTTTTTTTAGTAGAGACTGGGAGAAGATGGAATGAGTAGGGACTTGAAGTATGAGTGCTCAGATTGAGTTCAGCCAGAATCCTTTAGCAAGCCTGAGTTATATTAATGGCTTGATAGTTCTGGCTCAGTCTTCTGTGCTGCATCATTTGGAAAAACTTTGACAGAAATTACTGTATGGGTAGCTATGGCAGAACATTGCATGAGAGCTCTGTCTTAGCCCCTGCAATGCTTAACATCATCCCCCTTAAGTGGGGCACCATTTGGAGGTAGCTCTTCTGCATGAAGACCGTCCTACCTGGTAATACTTACCTGCACTCCAGTGTGTGTGAAACTGTTCACCTGTGTCTGATGGATTGTGCATGGGGAATTCTGTGTTCAATTGGCAAAAAGCACAGTTGCAGAGAGTGAGTATCTTTGTCTCTATTCTGGACATTTTATCACTTCTAAATAATATATCACATTTGATAGTGTTTTTCTGTGGCACCAATAGTGGTTCCTGATTCATTTACATGTAGGCAATCATCCCAAGAAGTGAATTTAATCCACAATCAGTCTATCTCTTACAACTGCATGCATTTTACTACTTTGCACTTAGAACTACCAGTCAGGAAAAGCTGCAGGAGAGTTTCTCATGTTTATCATAAAGTACTGCAGGAGCCAGGGACATAATAACCTCATTTGTGTTTGGACATTATTAGTTGTTTAAAGAGTTTATTTACAGAGTTTATTTTTTTCTTTTAAAATAGTTGAGTAATGACACAAGTAGAAGCAGTCCTTGTTCCAAGAGGCTTTCAGACTAAAAAATATTGAGCTAAGAAGCCTAATTAGAGGTGAGAAAGATGAATGTTTTTAGTCAAATAGGATAGGTGGTGTGTATGATCTAGCTGCTGTAAGAGAATATGTGTATGAAGAGAAATGAAGAATAGGACACAACTGGCACCTGTTGCAAACCAAGAAAATGACAAGTAAGGTAGCCTGTGTGCTGCTAATGTCATTCTTTGGCATACAGGAGAAAATAGGATGTGTATGCAGGAACAGTGCTGCACAGATCACCAAAGACTATGAAATAAATTGTGAGAAATGTCAGATTCTCCTGTGCTTGGAACAGGTTTACTGTAGCTATCCTGCTTTCCTCTTATGCAGTGCTTATGTTGCATTCCATACTGTCCTACAGGGTGGAAGTTGTTTGCCTGTAAGGCAGTTCATAGCAATTGAAAGATCAACAATTCTTGACAGTAACTGGTATGAAAGGTGCTTGATCTGAATTTTGTAGTACATGTCATCTTGGAGAAATGTTCTTTCAATATGGGATTCACCAATGTTGTCTGTACTCCTAGCAGACAAGTGTTTGATACCCAGTGGTGTTTTCTTTGAATTTTTGGGTGGTTCTTTCATTTCATGTCATTGGGGCTAAAATTTTTGCCAGTGGCTGTTTACCATTTTAAAAATTCAGATATTTTATTTTTTTTATATTAAATGGTTGGGAGCATAGACTCTCATGCAAAACTTTGTTGATAACATAAAAAGGGAATTTTCTTAGTGGGAGTGGTGTAAAAAAAAAAGTCCAAACAGACTGAATATGTATTTAATTACATAATTCTGCGTAGTTAGACATCTATGGAAAAAATACTGGTGCTTTTAACAAGCCATTTTTAGCAAATTTTTTTTTCAACACTAAATTTTTGCACCTAACACTTTGTTATGCCAATTCTAGACACTTGGGTGCACCTTTTCCCTGATAAAGATAGTGTTTATGTTACTGAGTCATGTTATCTCCTAGTACAAGGGAAGCTTTACATTTTACTGATGGCAATTTTTGCTTAGAAAGTAAGTTGGCTACTGGAATGTGACTTTCCAATTTTTATGTTTTAATAAAGTGGATATGTTTACAGTGTTGCATTCTGCTCCTCTCCATTCTAATATCCTAAAGTCCCTTTCTGAAGATGTTTGAAAATGGTTTTTGCTACTGCCTGTTGTAGTTCTTAGGAGTTTTTTTTGGTGATAGAGTGGAATAAAACACTGTTGTGGTTTAAACCCTGCCAGCAACTAAGTACCACACAGCTACTTGCTCACACCCCTACATACTTGCTTGGGTGAAGAGGACTGGAAGAGGATTGGAACTGTAAAAGTGAGAAAACTCATGAGTTAAGAACAGAGTAACAATTGAAATTAAATAAAATAGTAATAGTGGATTGTACTGAAAATAACAGAGACGTAAAAATAAAACTCACAAAAGAC